ACATAACCACTCAATCTCACACAACTACTCAATCTCACATAACCACTCAATCTCACATAACTACCCAATCTCACACAACCACCCAATCTCACATAACCAACAAATCTCACACCATCACCCAATCTCACACAACCACCCAATCTCACACAACAACCCAATCTCACACAACCACCCAATCTCACACCACCACCCAATCTCACACAACCACCCAATCTCACACCACCACCCAATCTCACACCATCACCCAACCACCAAATCTCACACCATCACCCAATCTCACACCACCACCAAATCTCACACCATCACCTAATCTCACACAACCACCCAATCTCACACAACCACCAAATCTCACACAACTACCAAATCTCACATAACCACTCAATCTCACACCTTCACCCAATCTCACACACCCACCCAATCTCGCACAACCACCCAATCTCGCACAACCACCCAATCTCGCACAACCACCAAATCTCACATAACCACAGTAATACTCAGGTTAAGGTGTATGACTCTATGAGACTTATAATATTTTGTATTTTATATTGCAATTTTTTAAGTTGCAGTCACTGTGCATTCATGTATATGCAAATATAATTATTTCACATTGTTGTCGATGCAAATACAATTAATGTTGATCACATTCTGAGTTTTATGTTCATGTTCGTTAATTTGTGTCTTTCACCTGTACCAAAAAAAAAACCACCATGTAATTGTCCATCTTCTTCTTCTTCGTGTTCACCAGCTGTAAACTCTGGTGGAAAGTTCTGGTTGTTCATCCACTTCTGGACTGCAGTCCTGTTCCAGAACCTGAGTGTTGCGTGTGCATCCGTTTTACAGATCTACTCATTTGTATGCGACTGCTGGTTCCTTGCCTCTCAGGCAGATGCACTCCGACTTCGAAGGAAGTTTCCAATTAGTCGACTCTTACGACATGCTTTTGGGCAGGTAGTGGATCTATTCTTGTTTTCCTTATAATAGGGCCCCAGAACCCACACGAGGAATTGTCATTCTTATTCTACTGTCACGGCCAGTGTAACTAACAGCGGTTGCTTGAAAGAAGCGAATGAAAGTAGATCTCTTTATACAACAATAAGAAAGAGACAAACACTGTTCTTTGGCCACATAATGAGAAGAGAGACATTTGAGAACATTGTGACAACTGGAAAGATCCGTGGGAAAAGGGATAGAGGCAGACCAAGAGAGATGATGCTGGATGGGCTGAAACGATGGCATGGAGGGATATCATCAAGAGAGCTGTTCCAGGGATCGTGATCTGTGGAGACGCATGAGCGCCTACACCAGTTGGCAGGGCACATGGTGGTGATGATTCTACTGTCTGCCATATTTCTGTCTTACGTATATCTGTTTCCATTTCTGTGAAATTTGACTGACTTCAGCTCCTCTCACTGTCTATACATGTTATTCGGCATGTGGGTTCCGGAGCCCCATTGTGGCGAAAACAAGGCTAAATGCACTGCCTCAACAGTAAATAAGGACTCTTTTCCTCGCCTTTAGGCATATAGGGCTAGACCTATATTTTTATAGACCAATCGGCACAGGAGGGTGATGTCAGCATCACGCCGGCCGCCTTTACTTTCCGGGACTGCGCCTGGTACCCACTCAAGGCTGGGTCGACCTGGGAGCCAAGGTCATTTTTGAAAAAGTCCGGCTCCGCCAGCGAGCGAACCCACGAACTTCCGATCCGCGACGAGCGTCTAGCCGCTCGGCCAAAGCGACTAAACATGTTGTAGGAGTTGACTAATTGGAAGCTTGCTTCGAAGTCAGAATGCCTCTGCCGAGTGGCAAGGAACAACTAACTACAGACAAATAAGCCAGTTAAACTGATGTACATGCAAAACTCAGGCCCTGGCACAAAGTCCAAAAAGACACACTCAGGACTTTCTACCTGAGCTCACAGCTGGTGAGCAAAGAAGAAGATACTTGCAATTTGCCTTTTTTTCTGTTTCAGATTTGATAGTTTTTGCCTGTACCCTTCAGTATCATCACTGGAAAATATGCCTAGCTTTATGATTCTGCTGGATGCCATAAGTCATAGATCCACTACTTTAAATACACATTTCTTTTTTAAACCAGATATGACTAGATTTAGTGTTTGAGGTTTGAGTCCTACTGTCTGAGGTTTGAGTCCTACTGTCTGAGGTTTGAGTACTACCTTCTGAGGCTTGAGTCCTACTGTCTGAGGTTGGAGTCTATTATCTAAGGTTTGAGTCAGTCCTAATGTATAAGGTTTGAGTACTACTGTCTTTTTAGTTCCGATTAGGGATGTGTACTAGAAGCAAAGCAGAGAGGGTATCTTGTAATGGAGGGAAGAGATAACTATAAAGGATAATATGGAAATCTACTCCTTGAAAGCTCCTCGACTCCGAACCATCAAGAGCTCTAAACAATGTCACGTGGCGAGTGGGAGCCAAAACCCAACCTTAAGCTGCCTCGGTAACAAGAAAAAAAAAAGAAAAAGTTTGTTGGGGGGGGTAAAATACAAAATATCTCACCCTGACAGGAAATCTTCTGCGTGGTGTCTAATATAGTAGTAACAGTAAAACCTAGGCACACTAACTAAAATAACAAGAATGTAAGTCCAAAAATACAGAAACTTTATTTACTTGATGACATATAACAATAATACTGGATGACACACTCCGAACACTAAGTATGCTAAAGAGCTACTAACTAAAGGTATACAAGCAGACCAGCAAAAAACTAACTAGGCAACTAGTAAACCAACGAATAACAAAATACTGACAGCTACTAACTGTTGACAACCCAGAGTAACACTTGGCAATCCACTGTAACTCTTGACAACCCAGAGTAACACTTGGCAATCCACTGTAACTCTTGACAACCCACAGTAACACTTGGCAATCCACTGTAACTCTTGACAACCCACAGTAACACTTGGCAATCCACTGTAACTCTTGAAAACCAAGAGTAACACTTGGCTACCCACTGTAACTCTTGACAACCAAGAGTAACACTTGGCAACCCACTGTAACTCTTGACAATCTAGAGTAACCCTTTGCAATCCACTGTAACTCTTGACAATCTAGAGTAACCCTTTGCAATCCACTGTAACTGTTGACAACCTAGAGTAACTCTCGACAACCCAGTGTAACACCTGGCAACCCACTGTAACTTTCGACAATTCATAGTAACACTTGGTAACCCACTGTTAATGCTTGAAAATCTACTGTTACGGTTGACATCCCAAAGTAACTCTTGACAATCTACTGTAACTGCTGACATTCCAGTGTAACTCTTGACAACCTAAATGTAACACTTGATAATCTACTGTAACCTTTGACATCCCAGTTTAAGTCAACACTACCCACAGTAAGACCTGGCAACCCAGTGTGACACTTGACATCTCACTGTAGCTCTGGGCAACTCAAGGCCCTCCTCAGCTGAGGTTGCGATGTGTAGAGTTGCTGCTGATAGGAGAGTGCAGTAGGAGGAGTTTGCATTGGAGGTCAGCTTATCGTGGGCACTAAAGCAGAATATGATTCTTCCTCGTGCTGAAAGGGCTGCCTGCAGTTCTCTTTATGCAACAGATCTATTCTATGCAGATGCTTGTTGACTTGGAAGGAGTAGGGGACAACAAAATATCCTCAGCTAAAAGGTTCCTTTTTGTCTTCTTGTCCGCCAGCTATGAATTCTGGTGGAAAGTTCCGGATGTTCATCCATTTCTGGACTTAAGTCTTGTTCCAAAATCTTTTGCATGCGCATCCCAAATACAGATCTGGCTTATTTACAGGCAAACTGTTGGCTACTCTCCTCTCAGGCAGATGCACTCTTGACTTCCAAGGAAACTTCCCTAATTAGTTGACTCTTATGACATGCTTGTCAGGGGGCAGTGGCTCAATTCTCTCCAAACCCCCCCCCCCCACCTCATTGGGGCCCTGGAATCCACATGTGGATGTTCTGTTCTATGTAAATGCTTGTTGATTTTGTGTGTGGGTGTGTGTGTGGGGGGGGGGGGAACCAGTAAAGGACCCTTTCCACACCTTCAGGCGTATTAGGGCACATAGGGCTAGACGGATACTTTATAGACCAAACGGTGATTGGTGGTGGTGTGGTCAGCAGCACCACACTGGCCGCCTTTACTTCCCAGGACTCCACCTAATACCCATTCAAGGCTGGGTCGACCTGGCAGCAAAGGTAATTTCTATGTTCTCAGCTGAAAGGTTGATACTACTTTAGGTATGTTGCTTTGGCAGAAACTAAAGAATAAGATATTGAGCAGGTGTGGCTTCAAGAGTGACTGACTGATCTGTGGGTGCAGCATTGGGATCGTTGTGGAAGACCATCTTCAACTGACTGCTAATTCAAAGCAAGGCAACAGAAAAAAAAATTTACATAAAAACATGGTCAACTCTGGATGAACTCTTGCATCCCACGTAACACATGGAGTACAATGGTCACGTCTCTTATCACATGAATCTCAACCAGTGCATTATGCATTTATATACTTCTGGTCACAGCATCTAAAAAATCTGGCCACTTCCACTGCAAAAGTTAGTCTCTGTGCACTCATGGCTTTATAATGGTTATTCCCTTTCCCTCCTTGAGCATCTCCTGCCAAACCTTCTGGTACTGAATGAGTTAAAGTTTGGTTTTGACAGGAAGGGATGTAGGGATAAGGACATGTCCTAATTGTTTTAACACCAACTGATACTGGACCTATCAGTATCTACTTCCTGCAACATTATCCAATAGAGATGGAACACCTACAGCCGGGCTATTCAACTGCCAGCTGGCAAGTCACATCTGGTCCAAGAGGCATAGCAAGTGGTCAGCAGTTCATTGCCAGCTGTATTGTTTTAATGACCCTTCTACACTGGGGTTCGAGCCTCTGGCCTGTTTGATCCCCATTTTCCAGATTCTGGCCTCTGAGTAAACTTACCTGAAAAGCCCTGACCTACAGGTTCGCCCCAAGTGCTGTACATGAATGATGTAAAGCTCATTTCTTCACAAATAATTCACACAGCCAAAGATTCTTTGGTGACCTCAACATATTCAAATTCTTCATCCTCTGAATGTTTAGCTTCTGACTTCCTGCCGTCGTTGATCTGACCAGACACCTGGTCTTGCTGCTTTCTCCTGTCCGTACCTGAGGATGACAGCTCAGGGCTGCTAACCGATGATGATGATGATGAAGGCGATGATGACTCGGATTTTGAACTTCGGTTTTTGTTAATTACTGAAGATGGAGATCTTGTCATAGACTTCTTCGTTTTCGTGACCTTCTGACTTCTCTTTAGGCCGGATTCAGGACATGACCTGGGCAATCTCGGTGACCTAGATTTTGACCTGCGGTCAGGTCGAGTTGATTTACTAGAAGACTTTGACCTGGACCTACGTTTAGACCGAGATCGATGTGGCACATGCGAAGATCTAGATGGTGATCGTGATCTGGACCTGTGACAAACTTTAGAACTTCTATCGTCTGACCTTGATCTTGTTCTCGACCTACGATGAACTCTGAAACTTCTATCCACTGACCTTGATCTGGACCTTGACCTAAGAAGAACTTTAGAACTTCTATCCACCGACCTTGATCTGGACCTTGACCTAAGAAGAACTTTAGAACTTCTATCCACCGACCTTGATCTGGACCTTGATCTATGATGAACTTTAGAACTTCCATCCACTGACCTTGATCTGGATCGTGACTTGCGATAAACTTTATATCTGCCTACCAAAGATTTTGAAGTTGACCTGTGAGAGCCATTTGAACGTCTATCAACAGATCTCGACCTGCGCCGAAACTCAGACGTCCTTTCAGGAGATTTTGAGCCAGATTTGCATCGAGACCTGTGTGATCTCACAGATTCCTCCCGGGACCTCCTACCAGGTGACCTTGAGCCAGATTTCCGTCCAGACCTGTGTAATCTTACAGAATCTCCCCGAGACCTCCTACCAGGTGATCTTACAGAATCTACCCGAGACCTCCTACCAGGTGACCTTGAGCCAGATTTCCATCGAGACCTGTGTGATCTTACAGAATCTCCCCGAGACCTCTTACCAGGTGATCTTACAGAATCTCCCCGAGATCTCCTACCAGGTGACCTTGAGCCAGATTTCCGTCGTGACCTGTCTGATCTTACAGAATCTCCCGCAGACCTGTCCCAGTGTCGAAGGTAGTGCCCATTTACACGGTCAGACCCCTGATACCTCTCGGATGGAAGCCCATCTCGGTCCATGTTCGTAAATTCCCCGCCAGGATTTCTGAAGACATGCAAAAAATTGCAAGCTTTTCCCTTTGGGCAGCGCTTTTTAAAGGCTAAACCTGAAAAGTAATATGGACAAATTATAAATCCAGTGGCAATTAACTTTGGGAATACATGTAAATCATTTCAAGCTGAACAGGGCAGCACTTTTTAAAGGCTAAACCTGAAAAGTAATATGGACAAATTATAAATCCAGTGGCAATTAACTTTGGGAATACATGTAAATCATTTCAAGCTGAACAGGGCAGCGCGTTTTAAAGGCTAAACCTGAAAAGTAATATGGACAAATTATAAATCCAGGGGCAATTAACTTTGGGAATACATGTAAATCATTTCAAGCTGAACAAACACATGAATCTCTATAAACCTGTTAACAACAAACAACTGAACCTCTACAATAAATCTACCAACAACAAACAGGTAAACCGCTATAAACACTCCAGCAACCGACAGCTAAACCTCTATAAAAAAAACAAAAATAAACAGCTTAACCTCTAAAAACCTACCAACAACAAGTAGCTAAACTTCTATAAACCCACCAACAAGAAACAGGTAATCCTCTATAAACACACCAACAAGAAACAGGTAATCCTCTATAAACACACCAACAAGAAACAGGTAATCCTCTATAAACCCACCAACAAGAAACAGGTAATCCTCTATAAACACACCAACAAGAAACAGGTAATCCTCTATAAACACACCAACAAGAAACAGGTAATCCTCTATAAACACACCAACAAGAAACAGGTAATCCTCTATAAACACACCAACAAGAAACAGGTAATCCTCTATAAACACACCAACAAAAAAACAGCTGAACCTCTAATATAAACCTGTCCACAACACACACCTAAACTTCAATAAACTGATGACAACACACTGGAATCCCACCACATCTACAGACAACACAGTAGAATTCGAATAAATCTAGACAGACAACACACTGGAATCCGAATAAATCTAGACAGACAACACAGTGGAATCCCACAAAATCTACAGACAACACACTGGAATCCCACCACATCTACAGACAACACACTGGAATCCCACCAAATCTACAGACAACACACTGGAATCCCACCAAATCTACAGACAATACACTGGAATCCCACCAAATCTACAGACAACACACTGGAATCCCATCAAATCTACAGACAACACACTGGAATCCCACCAAATCTACAGACAACACACTGGAATCCCACCAAATCTACAGACAATACAGTTGAATCCCACCAAATCTACAGACAACACAGTGGAATCCTACCAAATCTACAGACAACACAGTTGAATCCCACCAAATCTACAGACAACACACTGGAATCCCACCAAATCTACAGACAACACACTGGAATCCCACCAAATCTACAGACAACACACTGGAATCCCATCAAATCTACAGACAACACACTGGAATCCCACCAAATCTACAGACAACACACTGGAATCCCATAAAATCTACAGACAACACACTGGAATCCCACCAAATCTACAGACAACACACTGGAATCCCACCAAATCTACAGACAACACACTGGAATCCCATCAAATCTACAGACAACACACTGGAATCCCACCAAATCTACAGACAACACACTGGAATCCCACCAAATCTACAGACAACACTGTTTAATCCCACCAAATCTACAGACAACACTGGAATCCTACCAAATCTACAGACAACACACTGGAATCCCACCAAATCTACACAGTTGAATCCCACCAAATCTACAGACAACACAGTTGAATCCCACCAAATCTACAGACAACACAGTTGAATTCCACCAAATCTACAGACAACACAGTGGAATCCTACCAAATCTACAGACAACACAGTGGAATCCTACCAAATCTACAGACAACACACTGGAATGCCACCAAATCTACAGACAACACACTGGAATTCCACCAAATCTACAGACAACACAGTTGAATCCCACCAAATCTACAGACAACGCACTGGAATCCCATCAAATCTACAGACAACACACCAGAATCCCACCAAATCTACAGACAACACACTGGAATCCCATCAAATCTACAGACAACACACTGGAATCCCACCAAATCTACAGACAATACACTGGAATCCCACCAAATCTACAGACAACACAGTTGAATCCCACCAAATCTACAGACAACACAGTTGAATCCCACCAAATCTACAGACAACACAGTTGAATCCCACCAACTCTACAGACAACACAGTTGAATCCCACCAAATCTACAGACAACACAGTGGAATCCTACCAAATCTACAGACAACACACTGGAATCCCACCAAATCTACAGACAACACACTGGAATTCAACCAAATCTACAGACAACACAGTTGAATCCCACCAAATCTACAGACAACACAGTGGAATCCCACCAAATCTACAGACAACACATTGGAATTCCACCAAATCTACAGACAACACAGTTGAATCCCACCAAATCTACAGACAACACACTGGAATCCCACCAAATCTACAGACAACACACTGGAATCCCACCAAATCTACAGACAACACAGTGGAATCCCACCAAATCTACAGACAACACAGTGGAATCCCACCAAATCTACAGACAACACAGTTAAATCCCACCAAATCTACAGACAACACAGTGGAATCCCACTAAATCTACAGACAACACAGCAGAACCTGTCAACCACTTACCACAGATGGCATTCTTCCAAGACTCAATGTTAACGAAGACACAGGTCAGCTGCCGACCCCCGTACCATCGGGCGTTGAACTTCTCATAGGCCTTCTGAGCCGCAGATTCTCTGCATTGTAGACAAGGAGAAAAGTATTGATGATTGTTGAAACATTCATTTAAAAAAAAGGACACGAGTAAAAATAAGGAAGTAAGCAGGATAAATACATGTTTTCTGTATACCTTCAGGAGAGAGACAGATCTATACTCCATACCATTTTTAGAGAGAGACAGACACACAGAAAGAGAGGGGTTACAGTGAGGAGGAAAACGGATATATAGTTTATACCATCTTGAGAGAGACAGAGTGAGAAACAGATAAGTAATTATTCACTTACCATCTTGAGACAGAGAATGAGAGAGGAGTGAGAGAAAGAGACAGAGTGAGAAACAGATAAATAATTCATGCACCATCCTGAGACAGAAAAGGGGGAGGGGAGACATAAAAAGAGAGAGAGAGAGAGGGAGGTGAGAATAAACATACTCTATTCTCAAAGGTTTCTAAATTAGGCACTCAGGTCTGTCTTATACTCAGCCTTCCAAACACTCATCTTTCACAGCAGGTGTATTTGATCTATAAAGCAGGTTATATTCACATAAATAAAACAATACAGATAATATGAATAAGAAATAAAACACATAAAAAGCATAGGTGGTATATGCATACATACCTGCATACAAACACAAACATATACATTCATATGCACACTCATACATAGCCATGCATACACTATCATATAATACACTCATAGAAACACATTCACATATATGAGAAACAGAGAAAACACATTTCATGAATATGTTTGCATATCTTTCTCATTCAGTCTAAAATAGGCAAATGCAAATATCCTTATTTTTGTACCACGGTGAAAAATCTTAGTGTAAAACTGACGTCTGCAAATATCCTAACTTTTGAACCATAGTGAAAAATCCTAGTGTAAAACTGAAATCTGAAAATATCCTAACTTTTGTACCATGGTGATAAACCTTAGTGTAAAACTGACATCTGCAAATATCTCACCGCTTATACTGAACATAAACATTCCCCCGCAAGTGAGGCTCACAGTTACAACAGACTTTCAGCTGAACAATGGTGCCGACTGTCTTAAACTCTGGCACCACGTCTTCGTAGAACTCTTTAAAACTCTGGTACAGCTCATTCTCATCGTACTCCAAGCCAACATCTGCAACAACAATAGAAAAGTGTCAAAATACCAGCAAACAGTGCAACACAGAGAGCCCTGTATTTGGAACATCTGAGGCTATAAATACATGCATCTATGTAGCACATAGCACGGCTAGCACCCAATGTGTCTTAAAACCTGCTGAAAGGCAGGATAAGACTAGAGAAAAAAAAACAAGCAGAAGAAGAAGAATCAGGAAGAGAACAAGAAGAAGAAGAAGGAGGAGGAGGAGAAGAAGAAGGAGGAGGACAAGGAGAAGAAGAAGATGAAGCAGAAGAAGAAGAAGGAGAAGAAGAAGAAGAAGGAGGAGAAATAAAATAAAAATAAGAAGAAGAAGAAGGAGGAGGAGAAGAAGAAGAAAAAGAAGAAGAAGAAGAAGAAGAAGAAGAAGAAGAAGAAGAAGAAGAAGAAGAAGAAGAAGAAGAAGGAGGAGGACAAGAAGAAGGAGGAGGAGGAGAAAAAAAATAATAAGAAGAAGAAGAAGGAGGAGGAGGAGGAGGAGAAGAAGCAGAAGAAGAAGAAGGGGGAGAAGAAGAAGAAAAAGAAGAAGAAGAAGAAGGAGGATGAAAAGAAGAAGAGGAAAAAGAAGAAGAACAAGAAGGAGGAGGAGAAGAAGAAAAAGCAGATGAAAGAGGAGGGGGACGAGAAGAAGAAGAAGAAGAAGAAGAAAAAGAAGAAGAAGAAGAAGAAACTACAAGAAGACTGGTGGGACACAATCAAGGGTTCAGGATGATTTTAAGGTTCGATGATTTAGCTGCCGGAGAACATGGGACTGTATTATTGTTGCTTCTGGCTTGTTCCATCTCTGTAAGTCATGACCACGGCCACATTCAGTAGTAAGGCCAAACAGGTCTATGGAAATTCCCAGTCCATCCTCACCGTTGTTATGGAGTAAACTATACACAAAGTAAACTACAGTTTAATTAACCTGCAATATATTTTATTGAATGAATTATCATTATGAAGATAAATAAGTGAGCCATTAGAAAATAGAATAATAATAATAATAAAATTTCAATAAAATATGTTGCAAGTTAATTAAACTGCAGTTTAATTTGTGTATAAATTGACTCGAGAACAATGGTGAGCACAGACCAGCTTTGGACCGGCCTAACAAAACGGGAATTTCCGTAAACCTGTTTGGCCTTACTGCAGGAGCTGGCCGTGGTCATGACTTATTCTACATCCTCTTCTTCTCACTGTTGGACATTCACAAGTGACCTCCATTGCTGCCTGCCTCCTGCTTCTCTGTCCATGGTATCACATGTCATTTTACATTCCTTCATTTCCCTTCCCACTGTCCTTTTCCGGGTCCAAGTCTCCTTTTTCCATTTGCTAACAGAGAGCTGTTTCTGCAAAAGTCTCAAGAGGGATTCTGCGAACATCTCCAAGCCATCTCCATCTTCTCTCTTTGATGTTAGCCAGTGGTCAACATGTTGCTTTCCTATTCACTTCTTTAGAGACAAAAAATTGATGAATGCATCTGTGGAACTGGTAAAATGACAGCTAAACATTTACTCTCACCTTTTACATTTGGCCAAAGTATGCTAAATAAACCTGGCTACAACTTCCTCCTCTTTGTGTTTCTACAACACATACTGTGCCCATTTTTAATTTTACCTAATTATGGGAAATTAAGATTTTTAGGCCAGTCCTAAGAGAGAAGCTAAAGAGATAGGAGCCTGTGTCCATAACCAGACAAACAAATGGGCCCTTTTTATTCCTCCCTTTCTCTGAAATGTTTTTGATCGATGCCAAACCTTCATATCCATTGCTATTCCATACAACTACTTTCACTTGCCTTTTTATACATTATCCACAAACACATTATCATCATCACGTGCCCTGCTGACCGGCGTCGGTGTTCATGCATCTCCACAGATCTCTGTTCTTTTTCCCCAGTAATATCCTCTCATGCCACTGTCGCAGTCCATCCGTCATCATCTCTCTTGGTCTGCCTCTACCTCTTCTACCGTTGATTTTCCCAGTCATTACAACATTCTCCACAACCTCCACCCTCATCACATGACCACAGAACAGTGCTTGTCTTTTCCTTATAGCTGTATATATTGATCTGCTTTCATAAGCTTAAAAACTGAATGAAAGGAGCTGAGTGGAAGGGCAGAATGTTAGACGGGCCTGCGTGCCCAATTCTTAACCCTTTGAAAATAAAGTTTGTTTGTTTGTTCCTTCAAGCAATCCTCATTAGTTACTTTGGCAGTCCAAGATATTCTTAACATACATCTGAAAAACCATGTTTCCATTGCCTTCAAGGTCACAAATATATAACCACATAAAAATAATCCATTAAAATATATCCACTAACCTGTATCCACATTATCCACAATGGACTGTTCTAGTTGGAAGCTGGAAAACATGTTGTGGATGAGGATAGTTCGGCTGACATCCGGGTAGTCGTGGTAACGGGAGCAGCTTCAACACAAAGATATGCACATACATTAGATACAAGCGGACACTCGTGCACAAACATTGGGAGAATGTTTAATAATATCACTGCCCTCTGACCTGGTGTCATAAGCCACTACACACTGAGGGAGATACTGAAGAGGGGATCTCAGCACTTATGGACTGAATGGTTCAATGTGCGATGATGATAATCTACCAACTAACTAATTAACTGCCCTCTGGTCAAACCTTTCAATAGCTATTTTATTCCCTTACCCTAAAAATTATGTTGTCTTCTTCTTCTTCTTCGTGTTCACCAGCTGTAAACTCTGGCGGAAAGTTCTGGTTGTTCATCCACTTTCAGACTGCAGTCCTGTTCCAGAACCTGAGTGTTAAGTCTGCATCCGTTTTACAGATTTGACTCATTTGTATGCAGACTGCTGGTTCCTTGCCTCTCAGGCAGATGCACCCCGACTTCGAAGGAAGCTCCCAATTAGTCGACTCTTTCGACATGCTTTTGGGTACCTAGTGGGTATAATTCCCCCCCCCCCCCCCTCCCAATATAATAGGGCTCCGGAAACCACCACTAAGGATTTGCGGAAATTGGATGAGTTGGGCCAAAATATGCAGATATCCCAGCCCGTAAACCACAACACAGTGTGCCAATAGCCCTTTTGTCAGCAAATGTAGAAGAAGCTTGTTTTTGTATTAGAGTATGCAGATGCATGAGAAAATAAAACATGCTGATAAGCTTGCTGGTGGGGCTACTGTGGAGAGTTTAAAAAACAAAATTTGCATGTGCAAGCTTCACGATTTTGCTGGGACTGACATATTTTTCACTAGTCTTCAAATGGGACAGCAAAGGACACTGTGAGTGATCTCCAGGGGAACATCTGACAGCTGCCTCATGCATTCTTACTCTGCAAGTGCAAGCTTCAAGATTTTGCTGGGACTGACATATTTTTCACTAGTCTTCAAATGGGACAGCAAAAGACACTGTGAGTGATCTCCAGGGGTCTGCCGGTGCTATATTATTATCCTACCCCAAACAGGGAAAATCCCCCGGTCACTGGACAGTCTAATAGGGCGTGGCTAGTTGTTGCTGTTGTTGCTATCGATCCAGCGGCGCATGAGCTTTTGCCCTTTGGCCCAATGCCATGTAGTGGAATTTGCATGTTTTCACAAGCTGTTATTTTCCTCCGTACAAGGTGTTCCACTTGTCTGGTCTTGGAGGGAGTAGCTTCCTTCTAGTCTCGCTGAGTTTTGGGCACTCAAAGAGATGGTGTTCAACAGTTTCGTAGGGGTAGTTACATAGCTGGCACTCTGGGAATTCAGGGGGTGGCAGAAAGGTTGCATGCAGTTGTGGGACCTAGGCTGCACTCTCTCCTGGGACGTAGGTGGGTTCGGGTTAGGGCTAGTTCTAGATGTTTTGGGGTCATTAAAAGCATCAGAAAGCCGGGAAACCCAGTCTTTCCACCCTCTAAAATGTTGGACTGTCCTGTGACGTCATCTGGGGTAGGATATTAATAAAGAACCCATCTGCCTTATGCATTCGTACTTTGCATGTGCCTTCTTAGGGACAGGCAAACAAACGAATCAGGTTATGACTGAATCTAAAGCCTCGAAGAGGTTGAAAGAACAGCAAGTCATGCAGGACACTAAAGAAGGATAGTAAACCACCACAGAATTGTTGTTGTCAGTAACTAACACGCTGAGTGACATATTGAAGAGTGGATCAGAATATTTAGCCCTAGTCTTAGTAGAGGTTTTAATATCACTACAATCAGGTTTCCTCGTACTTGCTCCGTTCCTGTGCCAATGAAAATCAAATGAAATGTCTCCCACTGTCGCATTTGAAAAACTGGTAAACAAACAATTAGCCCCGGCACAATTCAGAAATATGCACACGCAGTAAATGCATATGGCAGTTGCTAGAGGTGCCAAAGCCAACAGCTGCCACCACAAATGCAGTTTGTCATGGATTATTACATAAGGTATTTCACTAGCACACACGTAAACCGGCTAATAGCCATATTGAATACAACTCAACTGCTGTACAAATAAAAGGCATTCCACATGACAAAACACAGCTCACAGGGCTGCACCAAGCACTAAACTCAGTAGCTCAGGCAGTAAAACTGTAGACTACCACCGATATGTGGAAACTACATTAGCAAAGCGCTGTTGAAAGCAAAAATAACTTTGAAGCTTAACAATATGCGTGAATAGTCCTCCGTTTTAGACTGGAAGTCTCAGAACACTTACTGACTGAATGATTCAATATACAGTGAAGCTTATCCATTGACCAGCTAAATGTTGTTCAATGTGCAGCAAAGATGGTCTCTAGACTAACCAATGGTTTGATGTACAGCCAGGATGTGGTCTCTTGGCTAACCAATGGTTTGATGTACAGCCAGGATGTGGTCTCTTGGCTAACCAATGGTTTGATGTACAGCCAGGATGGTCTCTTGAATAACCAATGGTTTGATGTACAGCAAAGATGGTCTCTTGGCTAACCAATGGTTTGATGTACAGCCAGGATGTGGTCTCTTGGCTAACCAATGGTCTAATATACAGCCAAGATGGTCTCTTCTCTAACCAATGGTCTGATGTACAGCCAGGATGGTCTCTTGGCTAACCAATGGTCTGATGTACAGCCAGGATGTTCTCTTGGCTAACCAATGGTCTGATGTACAGCCAGGATGGTCTCTTGGCTAACCAATGGTTTGATGTACAGCCAGGATGGTCTCTTGGCTAACCAATGGTCTGATGTACAGCAAGGATGTTCTCTTGGCTAACCAATGGTCTGATGTACAGCCAGGCTGGTCTCTTGGCTAACCAATGGTCTGAGGTACAGCCAGGATGGTCTCTTGACTAACCAATGGTTTGATGTACAGCCAGGATGGTCTCTTTGACTAACCAATGGTTTGATGTACAGCCAGGATGGTCTCTTGGCTAACCAATGGTTTGATGTACAGCCAGGATGGTCTCTTGGCTAACCAATGGTTTGATGTACAGCCAGGATGGTCTCTTGGCTAACCAATGGTTTGATGTACAGCCAGGATGGTCTCTTGGCTAACCAATGGTTTGATGTACAGCCAGGATGGTCTCTTGGCTAACCAATGGTTTGATGTACAGCCAGGATGGTCTCTTGGCTAACCAATGGTTTGATGTACAGCCAGGATGGTCTCTTGGCTAACCAATGGTTTGATGTACAGCCAGGATGGTCTCTTGGCTAACCAATGGTTTGATGTACAGCAAGGATGGTCTCTTGACTAACCAATGGTCTGAGGTACAGCCAGGATGGTCTCTTCTCTAACCAATGGTCAAAGGTACAGCCAGGATGGTCTCTTGGCTAACCAATGGTCTGAGGTACAGCAAGGATGGTCTCTTGGCTAACCAATGGTCTGAGGTACAGCCAGGATGTGGTCTCTTGGCTAACCAATGGTCTGATGTACAGCCAGGATGGTCTCTTGGCTAACCAATGGTCTGATGTACAGCCAGGATGTTCTCTTGGCTAACCAATGGTCTGATGTACAGCCAGGATGGTCTCTTGGCTAACCAATGGTTTGATGTACAGCCAGGATGGTCTCTTGGCTAACCAATGGTCTGATGTACAGCAAGGATGTTCTCTTGGCTAACCAATGGTCTGATGTACAGCCAGGATGGTCTCTTGGCTAACCAATGGTCTGAGGTACAGCCAGGATGGTCTCTTGACTAACCAATGGTTTGATGTACAGCCAGGATGGTCTCTTGACTAACCAATGGTTTGATGTACAGCCAGGATGGTCTCTTGGCTAACCAATGGTTTGATGTACAGCCAGGATGGTCTCTTGGCTAACCAATGGTTTGATGTACAGCCAGGATGGTCTCTTGGCTAACCAATGGTTTGATGTACAGCCAGGATGGTCTCTTGGCTAACCAATGGTTTGATGTACAGCCAGGATGGTCTCTTGGCTAACCAATGGTTTGATGTACAGCCAGGATGGTCTCTTGGCTAACCAATGGTTTGATGTACAGCCAGGATGGTCTCTTGGCTAACCAATGGTTTGATGTACAGCAAGGATGGTCTCTTGACTAACCAATGGTCTGAGGTACAGCCAGGATGGTCTCTTCTCTAACCAATGGTCTGAGGTACAGCAAGGATGTGGTCTCTTGACTAACCAATGGTCTGAGGTACAGCAAGGATGGTCTCTTGGCTAACCAATGGTCAAAGGTACAGCCAGGATGTGGTCTCTTGGCTAACCAATGGTCTGAGGTACAGCAAGGATGGTCTCTTGGCTAACCAATGGTCAAAGGTACAGCCAGGATGGTCTCTTGGCTAACCAATGGTCTGAGGTACAGCAAGGATGGTCTCTTGGCTAACCAATGGTCTGAGGTACAGCCAGGATGTGGTCTCTTGGCTAACCAATGGTCAAAGGTACAGCCAGGTTGGTCTCTTGGCTAAATAATGGTCCGAGGTACAGCAAGGATGGTCTGTTGACTAACCATTGGTCTGAGGTACAGCCAGGATAGTCTGTTGACTAACTAAAGGTCTGAGATACAGCAAGGATGGTCTGTTGACTAACTAAAGGTCTGAGATACAGCAAAGATGGTCTCTAGACTAACCAATGGTCTGAGGTACAGCAAAGATGGTCTCTTGACTAACTAAAGGTCTGATGTACAGAAAGATGTGGTCTCTTGGCTAACCAATGGTTTGATGTACAGCAAGGATGTGGTCTCTTGGCTAACCAATGGTTTGATGTACAGCAAGGATGTGGTCTCTTGGCTAACCAATGGTTTGATGTACAGCAAGGATGTGGTCTCTTGGCTAACCAATGGTCTGAGGTACAGCCAGGATAGTCTCTTGGCTAACCAATGGTCTGATGTACAGCAAGGATGGTCTGTTGACTAACTAAAAGTCTGAGATACAGCCAGGATGGTCTCTTGGCTAACCAATGGTCTGAGGTGCAGCTAGGATGGTCTGTTGACTAACTAAAGGTCTGAGATACAGCCAGGATGGTCTCTTGACTAACCAATGGTCTGAGGTACAATGAGAATGGTCTATCCAATAATTAGCATGAAAACATATAAAACAAGGGAGACTACTTACTGATCCCCAAATCTACAAGCCGCCGTTTTCTTGAAGAATGGACAATGATCCAACTGTCTCTCTTTGCTGAACTGGACGGGAGCAAACGGGTTGTGCCACGCCTCCTACCACAAACAGAAACATTGTGGTGAGTACTGTCACTTTATAATTCATACTCATTATGAAATTACATTTGAGGAGAATGTTAACATTTCTATGGACAGTACAGTGCAGAAAAGAAAGTAGCTGTGGTGAAGTGGCTAGACGCTTGCCTGTGGATTGGAATGTTGTGGGTTAGGACCCTGACAGAACCAGGCTTTCGTAAAAAAAATGACCTTGGCTCGCAGCCTTGAGTGGGTACCAGGTGCAGTACTGGGAAGTAAAGGTGGCCGGCGTGATGTTATCCACACATCACCCACCAAGTGCCAACTGGTCTATAAAATATATCTTTAGCCCTATGTGCCCAATATGCCTGAAGGCGCGGAAAGGGTCCTTTACCTTTAAATAATTTCTTTTTTTTTTTAAACCCTGCACAAACTGTATGGCGTCAGTGAGAATGTGACGTCAGTGAGAATGTGACATCAGTGAGAATGTGACGTCAGTGAGAATGTGACGTCAGTAAGAATGTATCATCAGTGAGAATGTGACATCAGTGAGAATGTGACGTCAGTGAGAATGTGTGTACGGAAGAATCCCACATATGACATTAGCATTCAGTTACCACCATTTGCTATGCATCTGTTCATCTTCTTCTTTACTTCCTATTTTACCACTTCGGGTGCCAAGGAAGGCATATGGGAAAATTGGTGAACTACAACTTGTAGCAAGCAGAGTCAAGGATCCCGTTATTCATCTTCTTGAAAACAAATTATCTATACCTGCAATGTTTCTAGTATGAACTTCACTGTCTTTTGTAATTTTCACTTAGCCGCCCGTAAAGTTTGACTTGCACCGGTGTCTCTCTTGGCCAGAAGTGTTGCCTGGATATGTTGTATTTGGGACACTCTTGGAGAACAAGATCTGTTGTCTCAAGTGCTAGTCCACACATACACATGACTGATTCGTCAATCTGAAATTGTGTGTACATGTGGCTACAAAGTTGATTCTACCCTGTACTGAGGCATAGAAGAATGACTTGCTATGGTCTGTCCATAATATGGTAATCGTCTTGTAATGGTTTTGGTGGCTTTCTGATGTCCTGTACTGAAACATATGATATAAATCTTCCCCAATATTTTTGAGGTTTTGAACAACGGATCAACATCGTGGCATACAAGTAGTAACTCATAAGTGCTCCATTCTACTTCTAACTCAAACCCGAGTCCAAAGAATCTCTGCACAGTGCACAGGCTCTGTAGCACCAGCGAGAATCATGAAATATTTTAGGTAGATTTTAAACTCTAAATTTTGCCCAGGCAGTGCTGTTAGGCTACTCTTTTTTGATTTCCAACTGACAAGGGATTTTTTTACGTGTGCAACAATGCACACGGGCGTCCGATCTCACTACCCTGAGACCAGGAGGAATTACTAGAAATCCAAGTGCGCTCTGACTTCGAATGAAGCTCCCAATTAGTCGACTCTTACAACATGCTTGTCGGGGAGACAGTGGGTCTATTCTTGTTTTCCCCACAATGGGGCCCTGGAACCCACTTGGGGAAACAGCATAATGAATGAACATTACACAACAGGATAATGAATGAACATTACACAACAGGATAATGAATGAACATTACACAACAGGATAATGAATGAACATTACACAACAAGATAATGAATGAACATTACACAACAGGATAACAAATGAACATTACACAACAGGATAATGAATGAACATTACACAACAAGATAACAAATGAACATTACACAACAGGGACAGACATGTACCGTGTTCTCATTGGCCGTGGCCTCCTGCAGCAACTTGTCCTAAAAATCCAACAATGCATAGCAAGAGATGAAGGTGAGTTGAACCAGGCGAGGGTCAAGGTTGGACCTTCTCCGGTGCTAGATCTAGGTTAAGTTTCCCACAATTCCAAGGATATTTGTACACAATAACACATTCTACAGCTACACAAACAAAACATCTGTCAAGCTAAATTAACTGAAACTTCAAACACAAATATAAGGGTCATCTCCTAGCACATGATGCTGTTGTTTGGGTGTGAGGTGTTCAGGTAGTGTTCAAGCAGAGGTTTCCTTAGTGGAGACATCTTCTTAGCGCTCACCGGCAGTAAACTCTGGTAAAAAGCTCTGGTTGTTCGTACAAAGCTGATTCTCATATCTGGCTTATTTATATGCCGACTTAGTTTGTTGCCTTTCAGGCAGATGCACTCCGACTTCGAAGGAAAACCAGCCTAATTAGTTGCTTTTTATGACATGCTTCTTTTTTTTTTTTGGGGGGGGGGGGGGGGGGGGGGGGGGGGGGGGGGGGGGTGGGGGGGGGGGGGGGGGGGGGGGGGGGGGGGGGGGGGGGGGGGGGGGGGAGCTGGAAGCGGGGGTGGGGGGGGGGGGGGGGGGGGGGGGTGGAGGGGAAATTAATGTGTAACTAAATTATGTTTGTTTAAACAGTTTGGCACCAAATAAACAGTTTAAAAAAGCTCTGCCTTAGACGCTTAGGTTTCTCCACAGATCTGGGTCCTTGGTTTTCTTCATGAAATCTACTGAACATATTCCTTCCTGCCAAGGGATCAAACTTGCCAGTTGAATTTTCCCTTGATTTGCTTCCAACCCTCTCACTGGCTTTGAGATACCATACTTCAATTTCCAACAGCATGAATGAATTGGCTAACATCTTTCCACAGTTGCAATTCTGGTGTGGGAATGCCAGTGTTGGCACTTCTAATAACTGCCTGTGCATAGTTACTTTGCATGTGCAAGCTTCAAGATTTTGCTGGGACTGACACATTTTTCACCAGTCTTCAAATAGGACAGCGAAGAATACTGCGGTAATTTCCACCCGAATAGAAATGAAGCAGTCATGGGTGGGCTGTCTGTAGTTATGCTGGAACCTCGGCTGACTGTTTATTCAATGGATCAACAACATGGCACACGGGTAGTACCCGGTAAGTGCTCCGTTTTCCTTCCAACTCAAGACTGAGTCCGTAAAATCTCAGCACAGTGCATGAACTCTGTAGCTCCGGTGAGGATCCTGAAATACTTTTGGGTAAATTTTTAACCCAAAATTTTGCCTGGGCAGCGCCGTTAGGCTACTCTTTTCGATTTCCAATGCCAAGGTGTTTTTTTAAAACTTGCGCAACAATACACACGGGCATCCAATCTCACTACCCAGAGACCAGGGGTGGAGGGGGAGGGGTTTATAGGCTGACTAACCTTCCGAAGATATTTAAAAAAACCTTTTCAGTTTTAAAATTATTAACATAATCGTGAAAAAGATACAACTTGGCCACAAGAAATAAAATTTGTATCCGCTCCAAGGCAGACTGGGTGGGGCAGTTAAGGAATGTGGTACAATGTTTAAACTGACACATGGAACAAGTGTGCATGATCAACAAACCTTATCTAAAAACAACGATCACTACAGATAACTAAGCCATTCTACTTCACAAGTAAAAACATCTTCTTCTTTTGTTTGAAAACTAAATTGTTTTGATATAACTGTAATGTGTCATTTCTTCTTCTTACCATTTCATCATCACGTAGCAGGTCTTTTGCAGAACATCGCTCTCATCACGGTCTGCCTGAAAGAAACTTGGTCTCTCGCCAGCTCTCCTGTCTCATGTACTTTCATACTCAAGTCACTTATATCCTGTGCCCATCTTCGTGTTGGTCGGCCCCTGCCCCTCCTTCCTGGTACCATGCCTTCCTCTATAATTTTTTCCAGTCCGTTGTGGCGCTTGATATGACCAAAATATTTCAGCTTTAGAGACAGGATGCTGTTTAGTAGCCAATCTTCCTTGATGTTCAGTTCTTTTAAGATGTCAGTATTTCTCCTCTTCTTTGTCCAAGATATTCTGAGAATCTTTCTATAGCATTTCAACTCAAAAGCCCCTATTCTCTTTCTTAAGGACTGGGACATATCATTCACTGGCTGTAAAAACTGTGGAAAGCTCTGGTTTTTCATCCACCGTTAGACTTTGGTCTTGTTCCAGAGATTGACTTCTGCATGCACATCTGTTTTACAGATCTGGCTTATTTGTATGCAGGTATTTAATTCCTCACTTTTCATGCTCCAAGCAATCTGACTTCGATGGAAATAACCCTAATTTATCACCATTAAGTGCCTTGCCAGCTGGCATAGACGTTCACACATCTCTACTACAGATCTTGGTCTTTGGTGTTCTGGATCAATTCCACTGACCATATTCCTCCATGCCACTGTCTTAAGCCATTCACCACTGTTTCTCTTGGTCTGCCTCTTCTACCAGTAATCTTTCCAGTCGTCAAAATATTTTCCAGCGCATCCTTTCTCATTATATGACCAAAGAACTTTGTTTGTCTCCTTCTTATGGTTGTATATAACATTTCACTTTCACCAGCCATTACCAACCCCAATTTGCTGACTTTTAGGACATGCTTGTAAGGGGCAGTGGGTCTATCATTAATGCTCCTAAATGAGGCCCTCAAATGCCATGGGAATGTTGCGTCATTTCACAACACAGCTGTCCTATTTCGGCTGACACATCCAGCTTTTCCTGACATTTTTTTTTTGCAATCATATAAAGCAGCTGGGATGAGGTGTGATTGGTAGGAAGTAAAGGCTAAAGGTATTCCTAAATCATATATTGCAGTTGCCAGGAGGAGTGCTTGAAAGGAGGTCATGGCTAAAGGTATTCCTGAATTATATATTGCAGTCAGAATGAGGAGTGCTTGATAGGAAGTAAACCCTAAAGATATTCCCGAACCATATACTGCAGTTGGGTTGAGAAGTGCCAGACTTCATCTATTCTAGGCCAGGGGCCTGAACTATGGCTGCTCGCCCCCCCCCCCCCACCCCCCCCCCCCCCCCCCCCCCCCCCCCCCCCCCCTGATCAGTCTTCTGTCCCAGATATATCAAAGAAAATATGCCTAGAATTAATCTTCATCAGACTGGACTGACTCCAGGGTATAAAGGGTTTTAAGAAATTAATCTGGCGTCTGCTGAGAACTGAACCAGAATCATACTCCTGAAAGCCAGAGTGGACTATCCACCCCTCCACTCACTCGCTAGGAGTACAACCACTAAAACTCTCTATCTAGTTTATACTTGCACTCATTTCAAGGTCAGGATATCATGTGATTAAACCAGCCAATAGCATCACCTGCTTCTGGCGTCTTTCTTGCTCCTGCTTTTCTTTGCTCTCCTGTTCCGCTTTTTCTCGGCGCTCTCTTTCCTCCCACTCCTCTCTGATTTTTCTCTGCAAGGAATTGAACAAACAACACTCATAAACAACTCAAAAACAAGGAACTGAACAAACAACACTCATAAACAACTCAATAACAAGGAATTGAACAACAAATGACACTCATAAACAACTCAATAACAAGGAATTGAACAAACAACACTCATAAACAACTCAATAACAAGGAATTGAACAACAAATGACACACATAAACAACTCAATAACAAGGAATTAAACAAACCACACTCATAAACAACTCAATAACAAGGAATTGAACAACAAATGACACTCATAAACAACTAAAAAAAAAAAGGAATTGAACAAACGACACTCATAAACAACTTAAAGTCAAGGAATTGAACAAACCACACTCATAAACAATTCAAAAACAAGGAATTGAACAAACGACACTCATAAACAATTCAAAAACAAGGAATTGAACAAATGACACTCATAAACAACTCAAAAACAAGGAATTGAATAATCAACAGATGAAATGTAGATGGAAAGATGAAAACAGTGAAATAAAAGAACAATAAAAGGTGAAATGTAAGAACAACAAACAGGTAAAATGTAAGAAGAATAAATAGGTGAAATAAAGGATTAAAAAAAAAAAAAACGAAGTGAAGATAATCTAACTCATAACTCAAGGATAAACTGAGGAAGGGATATGAAAAATCTGGATTAAATGCATCAATGCGAGGTGAAGATAAACCACTGACTGACTAAAATTTTTATATTTTCAGTTTAAATAAACCTACCTCCATTTCTTCTTTCCTCTTTCTCTCATTCTCCTCCCACTGTTTCTTGGCTTGGAAGGCCATCTGAGCCTGTCGTTCTCGCTCCAGCCACAGCTGATTCTGTCGCTGTCTCTCAGCCTCTTCCTGCTCTCGCTTGCGCTCCTCTTCCGAGTCACTGGATGATACATGCTGTTTCTCTATAAGTAAGAAAAATATTTTATGGTGAATAACAAAGCTTTAACAATTCCCAATCAGAGAGAAAACATTTGCTTTAAAAACACCCAGAAAACTGCTCTCAAACATTTCCCCATCAAAATACTTACATGTACAATTGCTACAGACTGATCAAGATAGCACACACTTCTTCATCTGGGTGCAACAACCAGCAAGGCAGCAGATTGATAAAGACGGCACATGCTTCTTAATCTGGGTGTAACAAACCAGCGAGGCAGCAGACTGATCAAGACGGCACACACTTCTTCATCTGGGTGTAACAAACCAGCGAGGCAGCAGACTGATCAAGACGGCACACACTTCTTCATCTGGGTGCAACAACCAGCAAGGCAGCAGATTGACCAAGATGGCACACACTTCTTCATCTGGGTGCAACAACCAGCGAGGCAGCAGACTGATCAAGACGGCACACACTTCTTCATCTGGGTGCAACAACCAGCAAGGCAGCAGACTGATCAAGATGGCACACACTTCTTCATCTGGGTGTAACAAACCAGCGAGGCAGCAGACTGATCAAGACGGCACACACTTCTTCATCTGGGTGCAACAACCAGCGAGGCAGCAGACTGATCAAGACGGCACACACTTCTTCATCTGGGTGTAACAAACCAGCAAGGCAGCAGACTGATCAAGATGGCACACACTTCTTCATCTGGGTGTAACAAACCAGCGAGGCAGCAGACTGATCAAGACGGCACACACTTCTTCATCTGGGTGCAACAACCAGCAAGGCAGTAGACTGATCAAGATGGCATACACTTCTTCATCTGGGTGTAACAACCAGCGAGGCAGCAGACTGATCAAGACGGCACACACTTCTTCATCTGGGTGCAACAACCAGCAAGGCAGTAGACTGATCAAGATGGCATACACTTCTTCATCTGGGTGTAACAACCAGCGAGGCAGCAGACTGATCAAGATGGCATACACTTCTTCATCTGGATGCAACAACCAGCGAGGCAGCAGACTGATCAAGACGGCACATACTTCTTCATCTGGGTGCAACAACCAGCGAGGCAGCAGACTGATCAAGACGGCATACACTTCTTCATCTGGGTGCAGCAACCAGCAAGGCAGCAGACTAATCAAGACGGCATACACTTCTTCATCTGGGTGCAACAACCAGCAAGGCAGCAGACTGATCAAGACGGCATACACTTCTTCATCTGGGTGCAACAACCAGTGATGCAGCAGATTGTTCAAGATGGCACACACTTCTTTCTGGTGTAACAGCCAGCAAGGCAGCAGACTGATCAAGATGGCACACACTTCTTCATCTGGGTGTAACAACCAGTGATGCAGCAGATTGTTCAAGATGACAAACACTTCTTTCTGGTGCAACAACCAGCAAGGCAGCAGACTGATCAAGATGGCACACTTCTTCATCTGGGTGCAGCAACCAGAAAAGCAACCGATTGATGAAGATGACAAACACCTCATCCAGGTGCAACAACCAGTGATGCAGCAGATTGTTCAAGATGACAAACACTTCTTTCTGGTGCAACAACCAGTGATTCAGCAGACTGATAAAGACTGCTGCGTGAAAGACAAATGTTTTGAAGGGCCGATTGTAAGACATCACTGCACTTAGGTCATTCCAAAACGTGCTCCGTCCCCTTCTTCAGCAGCCAACAAAGAGTAGCCAACTAATAGTACCAGTTGCAACCTGATTAAAAATCTGCCTGTTTCCCCCTCAATGTTGAATACCTTCCAGAACCTCTACACCCTCCCATCCTCAATGAATCAGTCTTTCAATGCGTGGTGCATGGATTCTCTATCTGTTCTTTTGCACTGTCCAGTTGATCCCCTACACCCTTCACCAGTTCCGCTTTTCACAAAGTAGCTCATCACACAAAGGAGCGGCAGCAATTAATCCATCAGCCTGCTCTATGAGTAAAACTTTTAAGAAGAATTATGGCTGGAGCTACCGGGTGTTTGTGCACTGAGCTGGAAATCTCTTCACTGGCAACATAAAGTAGAGTAACAACTAGATAATCCACACATTAAGTTTCTAAACAACAACTGCAACACACCTGTCAATGTCCCTCTTTCTATCGCTGCTGCTTGTCTCTTCTCTTTTCTCTTCATCTTCTTCAAATATGCCTTCCATGCTTTATGGCTGGGGAAAGAAACAACTGTTTGAACAATTTATCAATTTTGCCTTCAAAGTTTACAAGGAACAAAATGAGATACATTAATGAATGCCTGCAGTCAATTATATCCTCCACCTTCTTCTAGTCCAGTGGTTGTGCAACCCTGGGGATGGAGTGGGGACAGGGGGTGGGGGAGTTTCAAGTGGGGCCTCAAACTGTGTAAAAAATCTTACAAAAATTTTTTTTTCTTTAAATAATGTTTGATTATAAACATTGTTTTTAAAACTACTGTAATAATTTCTGCACATATCGTAGTTACTACTCTGTAAATAGCACATGATGTGTACAGGTAATTTACCACTGGCCCGTTTAAAAATGCAAACAGGCAGTTTTTGAATGGTATTTCCTGTTCTTTGTGTTTAATAACAAATGTACAGACTATTAGTTTTATTTGGAAATGTGGTTAAAAGTGTAAAATATGTTTATGAGCTTCACCGAGTTTCTAAGTGTCTGAAAACAGTTCGGTCTCTAAGACAATATGGCCTCCAGGACAATATGGCCTCCAAGCACTCTTCATGCATGCCAACAAGATTAATAGCTTTATAGGCCGCAGATTTAAATAAAACATGAGTTTATCAAATTTATCCGAAGCTAGAAAGAGAAAGTTTCAAATTAGACTGGTTTCAATTATTGATACAGTCAGGCTTTGATGATAGATAGCTCTAATATCTGCCTCATTAAAAAGGGTGCAAGGATAACAAAGTCAGCTGGACAAAAAAAAATATTCACGAAAAATGAGATTTTCTTCAGTGTCAGTTGGGTTAAGTGTGATTTCCTTCATATTCTCTGGTATAGTGTAAAAAGTCAGCTCTGTGGCTAAGTCGATGCGAATGCTTCATAATGTCGGGATGCCGACAGCTTCACAACTGAGATGTTTTAATATTTCTACGTTCATTTGCGGTGGCCCGATTCCTTACCCGCCCCCGGCATCCAAGAGAAATAAAGCACTTATAAGAAACATAAGAATAGAAAAATTTAGCTATTTCCATAGTCTCAAACCGGCGCGCAGAAAGCAGAACGTAAAAATAATCATGCAAGCAAGAGGTGAGAAGACGAGAAAAAAGGGACCTGTTAAAGCTTTGATAAAAAGGAAAATACGCCAACCACGCAACACAGGAGAGGTCTTGTGACCCGACGAGGCATGAATGGCAAGGGAAGTTACTCTCTTTCTGGGAACGAAAACTTGAAAACGATTCATTTATATCAAATGCTTTTAAGGTCTCAGTGGTTCCTTCTCACTTGTCGGCTATCCTCTGAATGACAGGTGGCTGAGGCCCTGTTAGGGTATTTTTGCGGGCACCATGATATGTGCCCGTTATTCTGAGAATAGCCCATTTGTCGGCTCTCCTCCGAACTTCTACCATCGCAGTAATCCGGACTTAACTATCCGTTCGGTGCGTAGTCAGATTAAAAATATGCCGGCTCCGTTTTGCGAAACAATTGTTCTAACAGGGTCTCAGCGATATGTTACTTGCGGACCTGTTTCTTATCGTTTCTGATTACCTGACAATTCTAAGAGACGCAACACTGCAGACGATAGTAGCAGACGACGCAAATAGTGACAGTTGACACTTTCCATTGTCGAACTTTCTGCCGATGATGAACAAATCGTGGCAAATCTAGGAAACAAAAAAAACCGAAACAAATGCTCTAACTGTGTCTCAGCGATATGTTAATTGCGGATCTGTTTCTGTGACTATGCCTCGCCGCCGAGAGTATCCCCCGCGGCGCGGATGGGGGGTTTAACTAGATGGCTGGGACTCACAAGCAGCAGCTAATGCATCTCCTGCAACTTCCTCCAATTTTATTTGCTCGTGAGTCCCAGCCATCTAGTTTACCCCCCCCCCCTTTCCCTGTGCGTAGCGGCGGATATTCTTGGCGGCGAGTTTAATCGCATTTTGCACATGCCGACAAGTGTGAGGACAACAACGAAGAGAAATACTTACCCATTCGTAACGTTATTAAATGTGATAGTTGTGGCACAGAAGTTGCAGATAGTGCCCGGAAATCAGCTCTTTGTGGCAGTGATGCCATTGAAATTCACTTAAATATGATGGAAACAAGGCACTGCTAGTGCCCAGTTGGTACCGAAGTTTCTGTTTCAGCAGCATCCACAGGCCTTCTATGGTTTGGGTATGAATGTCAGTGTGTACACTGTCTACAAAATTAGTCTGGTGGACGACAACTGCCATGTCTTAAATTGGCAACGTTGCTGTACCCCCGCCAAGCGTCAGTGACGATTCTCGTTCCGGGCAGGACATGATCACTTATGATCATCTCCAATGTAGCGATATCTCGTCTTGCCACAACTTCTAACCAGCATCGACCACTGTGACGCTCTACTAGGCCGACGACCCATCGGCTATGGCGAATACGACCACGCTGGTATATGCGGCGAAAGAAACAGCTCTCGTCCACTTCAACGACCAGAGATGTACCGTTGGCATCACATCCTCCCAACTCAACCTCCGTTGTTAACATATAATTATAGCATTCCTGTCGGAAATAGTTGTTGTGTGTAGTTTACAATTGTGTTCCAGCTTGAGAGTCTCTCGAAGAACATCACATTCGTCAGTTTGACATCGAAGAGCCAGTAAAACATCATCATGACTATTTTCTCAGTTGAAATGTTGCATCTGGCAAAGAAGGAGCCAGTGCGCACGTTACACTCAGTACTACAGCGACGACAGCGCCACGAGTATCTGTCAGAGGCCACCTGCCGCGCTGTCAACGACATAGCACCCTGGCAGGAAGAACATGCCTGCGTGTTATGTATTAGCCTGTGGGCAGCTAGCCATTCCAACCAGACC